TAACCCACCAGACCAACAGGAGCCATGCTAGGCTAAAGGCTACCCGCTCCAGACCAACAGGATCCATGCGAAGCTAAAGGCTAACCCCTCCAGACCAGCAGGATCCAACAGGGACTGAAAACTACAAACAACCAGTTCTTGCCCTTTTTCACTTCACTCTGTTCTTTCTTTTTTTCTTCAGGGATGTTCGGCTTCCCTTCTTCACCTCCTACTCATCATCACCACCACAGCAAGAGGAAGAAGTGTCCTAATGATTGAACTCTTGAAGACATTTTAAAGTTAAAGGATCTTAGATTCCTAATTGTCTCTTTTCATTGAAGCCATTGTTCAGTGTTTACATGAGAAGTTATTCAGCATCACATGGAGGAATGTAGGATTAAATTTCACAGTCAGATGTTTAGTGTGTTTCTCATAATAAAATGAGTTCAGTTTCTCGAATGTGAGAAATCCAAGACCCTGAACTGAAATAAGAAAGAAGCCTTTTCAGACATTCAGTCCTTTTAATTCATATTTTGCCTCAAAATGAACTTCTTTCTCATGTTTGTGTTGATGGTTTGACACAAGTGTCGGACAGGTTTCTGCATCACTGTGGAGTCGGAGGAACAGCATCACAGTGGCAGCGTGGAGGTTTTCTAAGTCGCAAAGGGTTTGTCGTTTTTGCTGCAACAACACAAGTGATTACTGGAAACAACCAGCAGCAAAGAGCAACTAGCTTAGCCTAGGAAATGAGGTTTAGACAGCTGAAAGCTAACAACCACGCAGAACAAATGGAAAATGGTCTGTAAAAATGTCTAGAAATGACTGAAATCAGATCTCAAGAACTGTGAAGGTCTCATATACCCGAGTTCTTCTGTTGAGCTTACTTCTAGGTCTTCTTTGTATAGTGTTGGGTTTGGGTTCAGTTAATCTGTTTGAGTCCAGTTGCTTAGAATTAGCGTCTAAGGCCACAGAGCTTAGCGTTAGCTGAAGATCTAGTTAGTGTCTGGATTTAGTTAGCTTAGAATTAGCTTCTAGGCCCATTTAGGTATGAGTTAGCATTGTGTTCAGTTAACTTTGAGTCCGTATAGCTAAAAATTAGCTTCCAAGCCAATTTAGCTCTGAATTAGCTTTGGGTTTAGTTAACCTCTAAGTTCTGTTTACTTAGAATTAGCCTATAGGTCCATTTAGCGCTGTGTTATGTTTGGGTCAGTTGACTTAAGTCCAATTTTCTTAGAATTAGCGTCCAGGCCCAGTTAGCTCCAAGTCAGCCTTGGTTTCAGTCAGCTTCAATTAAAATTCTGTGTTCTTATGTTACAGGTAGAATTCAAACTAAAGCTGTCTTCTGGCCGACTGAATGTCTCGAGACTGAGCGTAGAATTAACATCCAAGTCCATGTAGGTCAGATGTGGCATAAGGTACAGTTTGTATCTGGGTCAGGTTTTCTTAGAACTGGTGTCAAGTTAGCATATGTTTTCACATTTTTTAAAGACACTGAAAAGTTAGCGTCCCGCCCTTGCAGCCTCTCTCTGTCGTGGGCTTCAGCACGGCCGGCGGCAGCATGCAGGCAGGTGTGCCGAATTACTAATCAGCTGATTGGTGCTTCAGGATTGGTCCGCTCCAGTTGCGACTTTTCTGTCTGCTGGTATTTCAGCTGCGGTCGGATTAGGTTCCAGCGCCACACCGTCGAACCATTCACCAGTTCTGCTGCCGATCACCACCACCAACACTCCACCCTTCACGGACTTTCTACCACCGGACTCCGCACTACTTCTGTCTGCTCTGGTTCCTGGTTCAGCTATCCTCCGGTTCACTCCGCCGCCAGCTGTTGCTCCCGGCACTCCTCATATCGAGCCAGTTAAGCCGTCACCGCTCTGTCTGCTGTTTTTACAGTCACCGTATTTTGCTTGTAAATGTAGTTTGTCGTTGATTAGTTGTTTTCCCTGTTTGCCAGCTCGCCTTCAGCTTCATTCACTATCTCCTGTCAGTGTGTCCGTGTTATTGTTCAGTTAGTCTGCCTGTCTTCTCAGCATTTAGTCTGAGCTCACTTGGTTCCGGTTTAGGTTTCGTTTCTTTTTGCAAACTCAGCATTGTTTTCCTTAGCTCCTTAGTTCTTCCTATTTTCAGTCTGCCAGTTCATTTCAGCACATAGTTGAGCTCTTTGACTTATTTTCTTCTTGTCCAGTTAGTACCTGGTGTTGGTTGAGCTTTTTGTAACTGTATTGTTTTTGGATTCTCTTTGTTGTGTAATAAATTGTTAAACCGCTTCGGTCTGCTGTGTCTCTGTTGCCCTGCACTTGAGTCTCCACCCTGCGCGTAACAGTTGGCTTCAGATCCACTAAAAGTTAGCTTTGATTAAACTTCTAGATCAGTTTGGAATCGCTTCAGGTGCATTCAACTTTGCGCTTAGCTTCGTTACCACATTAACATAGAGCTACGATGGCCAGTTAACCTCTGGCTGCAGTCTAGTAAAACCCACGGACTACAGGATGGACTTTAGCTTATGAGCTCACAACCTTCCTGAGTTTGTGCGAAGCTAGGCTATCCACAGAGGTGAAATTCATAGGGATGACTGAGAACAGGAAGATTTAAGCGAAGCATTTGGTGTCTGCATAACATTTGACCTTCAAGGCACATAATCAGTAAGAACGAATATGCAGTTTCACTCATGTTTATAGATGATTCTGTTCTTTTATGAGATTTAACTGAGACATAATAAAAATGGACAAAATGTTTTTCCTAGAGCATTTTTAACCATACAGAACTTCAAGATTCTACAATTCTAGTTTCATCAGCAGACACTTTTATCCAGAGCGACGTCCACCTGAGAGCAGATCCAACACCAGCACGGATCTGGTCAGGAGAAGACAACCTGGATCAGAGCCATAGAGCCGGTTCAGTGTGACAGGGTTCTGATGCCAGTAGCAGGCTGTAGGGAGGGGACAGGACATTTAGTTTTAGGGTTTGTTTGTTTCCAGGCTGTCAGGTGTTGAGTGAAGAGCTGCTCTTCAGTCAGTTCTTACAGACTGAGAGGGAGTCAGCAGGTGGACCAGTTTGGTAACTGGTTCCACCACCAGAACCACAGAGGAGGAGAGTCCAGCTACCGACCTGGGCCCTGTTATGGTGGTTGGACCAGGAGGTTCTGGTTGGTCCAGTTAGTGAGCAGAGGGAGTGTAGACCTGAAGGAGAGAGTTCAGGCAGGAGGAGATGTTCTCTCTGTGGTTCTGCTTCAGTGTTTGGATTTGAAGCAGCTGGAAGCCAGTGATCGATC